ATTCGATAAAAAAGGGACGTTACCAAAAAACGTACCTTTGCAACCATATAGTTCCACCCTCATTGATATGTGGTTATGCCAAGCTGTTGGTTGAAAACGTGTGTAGCGTGCCACAATCGACCCATTGAGTTCGTTATAAACGATAGTACTGTCGTCTGTGTTGCCAACAAACACCTAAATCAGGCGAAAAAAAAAAAAAAAAAAAGAAAAACAGTAGTTAGGGAGCGGTCATTAACTATTGGGGGGTGGCTGGGCGGTATTATTTCAAAAGTGAGGACCCAAAAGTTTTAGCCCCTCTCAGGTTAACAGCCCAAAATCCTGCCCCCCCACAAAATGAGTGCCCAAAAAATTGTAACCCCCCTCCTCCCTCATAACATTTTGAGTATTCGAATGTTGCATCGCGAGAATCCATACCAGCGTAACTTTGAGACAATTATTTCATTGGAATAAAAAAGTGTTACTATTTATTAATAAAATATTTCGGGGTAGAAGCGGAATCATTTGAATCTTGATATTCATGATTCCTGTCGTTTTTTACCTCAATGATTCATGATTTTCTTCCAGATTCATAATTCACGAAGACTTTTGATCACCTATTTATTTAATGATATTCTCATTGGCTACCTAAAAAACGGTAAAACGGGCAACAAAAAGCGCGCAATTTGTTTTGCCACATGGCTGCAAAATGAGTTGAATAGTGATGTTGCCTCGTTTTACCACCTACGAAAACAAACCTTACAACCTTATTTCTTGCAAGACAGGGTCGAACATGGGTGGTAAAAACGCGCAACATCGCTACTCAACTTGGTTTGCAGCAATGTTGGAAAACAAGTTGCACGTTTTTGTTGCCCGTTTTACTGCGGCTTTAGTCTTGTTTTGTGTAGTTTCTTTGGTGTTCAAACTTCTGTTTTCATCCAGAACTATGAAGATTTTGGACCTCTGTTTCTCGGTATCATCATTCATTTTGTCCAGGCATGGGTTTTTTTTTTGTAATTGAACATTAAGCACTAGTGTCACTGGAGAAACAAGTGTACTGTCAGTCCCAAATGTACGAATTATTTAGGGGTTCAGGGCATGCTCCCCGGAAAAAAATGAAAACCGGACTCTCGAAAACGACAAATCCTGCATTCCCTGGATCGAACGCAATTAATTCATACGTCTATTTTGTTGAGCTTTCAGTTCTCAGTCTCGTTATTCATAAATCCCGTGCGCTGTTTTCAAAGCCATTTCAAAGTCAAGCAAATTGCAAGCTATTCCACGTGAAGTCACTCCTGATCTCCAGCCAATCAGAGTGCTTTTTAACCGTGCGATTCATCTTTGAGTATGCAATTCTGTTAATATTACTTGCACGGCCATCGTATTTCAAGCAGTGCTTAATATTTCAGTAACACAAAACCCATTAGTACGCGCACATCGCCCAAAGGCGGGCTCAGAAAATTTTAGTCCTAGTTAATGACCGCTCCTTTATGTGGACACTTAGTCACGGTTTTGGCGCCATTTCCCTGCTATTCAAGATCGAAGGATGACATTTTGTGTTACCAGGCACTGAATTTCAGAACACCCCTCGGGTTCCTGCACACCTAGACGTAACCCCTGATACGAGTGTTTTTGGTTGAGAAGTGGAATCACTTGGATAAAAGCTAGTGCTTTCTGGTGAATGTTACTGATGTTGTAATAGTATGAAGGGTTTTTTTTACTCCATTATCGTACTTTTTTACAATGGAATTTGAAACATACGCCAAGTATATGAAATTTGAGCAGGGGTTTTGGGAAACAAAAGGGACCTTGTCCATTTACTTTTAGGACGAAACGTGAGGTATCCTGAAATGACCTCCAGGGAAAAGGTTAACGGCTCTGAGTCTTTCCAGTAATAGGGGGACATTGATTTTCTAGTTTAAAATAAGATTATTTTCGAATAAACTTTTACACTGTACTGTCAGACTTCTAATGTTTGACAATTTTGCTGCTTCTCTGGTCTATTGCAGTCGGTTGTGACTTGGTTGCGAGTAGACTGGGGCCTGAAGTCGTTTTTTTCCTTCCTAAGAACTGCTGACTATTTTTTCTTTACGCGTTACCCGGATGACTTTTCAGGTTCTACAATAGGTTAAGCCTGCCCCCATTACAACTCTATGTGTTTGATACTTCCGAAAGCTGACAGCATTGGATTCTGGGGAACATGTTAATTAAAATTACTTTTAGAAAACAGTGAATTTCAAAATTATTTTGGGGAACAGGGGAACTGTACAGTACCGCAAATGAGCCCCGACCACAACACCCCAAAAGGGAAAGAATGGCTAAAACGGACCACAAATTATCCTCGACCCCAAGTGAACCACCTTCGTGTTTTCTTGGTTCTGGAAACTTTTATTAGCCTCACTCACCCCGACTAACTCCTCAGAGGGAGTTGAATGAGGGGATTAAGCATGGTAAACGAAATGACGAAGAACAAAAGTACAGTTCACTAACGAAGGGGTAAGTGCACAAGATCTCAAAACTTACAACATGATTACATTGATAATAACTTTTTTGGGTTTAAGGGTTACATGCAGTGAAACAGATTACTGAACTTTATTTTGCTTCCTAATTAGTCAACTATTTGCTGTATCTACTTTTTTTGACAAGCAACAGTCACATCTTTAAAAAAGTAACAAACTCCCCACAATGTAAATGTCTGCAGAGGTGTCTAACCTTGTGTTCACTTTGTCCTTGTTGTTTGTACAACTGGAAATTCAGACCGTCGTCGCTGTAGTTCAGCGTGTAATTTATTACCCACTGGCTCTTTAAATTACTTCCTTGCGTTGCCACCCGTGTGACAGTGACAGGATTGCTACCTAGATCAATCTGTAGCCATTGCTCAGCGTCATTAGCGTAAGCTGACCACGATCCTTTCAAGTTCAGTCTACCCTGGCTGGCTTCATGGTTGGCATCAAGCTGTGACGAAGAACTAATCTGCCCGTCAGTGATCGCTCCTTTCTCCATACCGAGAGCCTCTTGACATTCTAAATAACAAAACAAATTAAAAGGCAATGCCACAAAGATTGAGTGCTACTTGGAAATCTAATGGATGTGTTTCTGTCAATGAAAATTCCACAAAAACCTGCCTTGCTCTTTTTAAGAGTTATGAAACAATACATTAAAATGTTGAAAACGATAATTCACTACGGGCGAATGGGAAAGAAGGGGACTAAGACCCAGTTCAAACATCCAACCTTTCATGTACCGAACTTAATAGCTATTTGGGTCGACCCAACTGATAAAAGTCCAATGGTTGAATCATACGTCAAACTAAAAATTAGTCGGACTTAATTCACTTTCAAGATGTTAGCATAGTCTACAACGGTTACCAGTGAAAATAAATGATAGTAATTTATGCATTAGGTTCCGCACATGAAAGTCAGTCGACGTAGTTCCTAAGTCGGAATTCCCATGTGCGCATGGGTCGACCCAAATTAGATATGTCAGACTTAATCAATTCAAACGTTAATCTTTTCTTGTACTTAATTGAAGGAGTTTGGTAATGAAAAGTTCGACGTTTGAACTGGGCCTGACAAAACTTAAAAATAGTAGGGCGACGTTTTCACTGTTCGCAATGCTTTAGTATAAAGCGTTTTACCCACGTGGCCAGCAGCTATGCAAATTGGAAAAAAGAACGTCTTTACATAAGAAAAAGTTCAACTCCACAGGAAGGGTTTGGCACACCAACATGGCGGTCGTGATTTCATGTGAAAACAATTCAATTGTCCAACAATCCAATTTCTAATCGTAGTTTCTGAGGCTGCCCCTAAAACTCTTAAAAATGTGTGGAAGAAATGGTGGATGCCTTCTTTCCCTGGCAATTTTAGCACCTGCTGAGAAGGCCAAATCCTATTTCTAAAAATTTGATAATGAGTTAACATGTTCCACGTCGATCCTATAGCCCGACTGCACCGAGCATTGTTACCTATACTTCAATGCAGATCGGAAGCGTTTTGTTTCCCGTGATGAAAAATAATTTTATTTGCTTGTTTATTAATAAAGTAATGGATAACATTACCTCTAGCTCGTTTTTTTATGGACCGATATTAACCCGTGACTTCGCGCTTTAATTCTTTTACAACATCCTCACCATTATTTTTTCAACGCTGCTTGGAACATCGAGAGAAAAACAAGGGTAAAAAGAAGTAAGAAACAAAAATTAGAGTTATACGAACCATTACAGCTGACTTCGTTCACTTTCTCGCTCCAGTATCCTCTTATTCCGCACCGAGCAGATGAAGCACCACTAATTTGTTTTCCAGTAGCGCAGGAAAATGAGCAAATTGAGCCGTATCTTTGATTGTATAAAACACAACTCTCGGGCCAAATTTGCACATCATTTGTGAAGGAGAGTTTTCGGCACGTAAATTCTTTGAAAGAGGAGATATAAAGCAAGTTTAAAAAAGTGAGGATAAACAATCACGACACTGGTAATAGATTACTTAGACCCTAATAAGTGTCATAAAGTTTATAACCGCGTTTTGCCTTTGTCTACAGCAAAAATGATAACTGTTATCTCGGACTTGATCCTCAATTTAGGCTCTTTATTAATTTGAATTTCCCTTTTTTTCTTTTTTCTTCTCATTTTTTTAAAATTTAATTTCATTAGAATGCTCAGGACAATGGAATGAAATTCTTCCAACCAAAAAAGGAAAAAAAATAACACTTTTCTTTTCGCTGTCTGTTCGACCATGCAGTCTTGTAATAGAGGACGTAAGGAAATTTTAGCAACATACTTTTTCGCAGAGGAGTTATTTGTGTCCTTGATTTCAGTAACAAATTTTAAGGTTGGTAGGAGAGGACCCTCGGGAATGAGGCTGTGGTTACTGCAGATCGAACATAAAACCGTCATACAATCGTGTTACAAATCAGGTAAAATATTATTCAATACTCCAGAAAACCGCTATAGGCCAATGACCGCAGACAAATAACAGCGACTTAGTGACAAAAAAGAGGTTTGTGTGTGTGTGTGTGTAGAAAATATAGATTGGTAGGTAGGGCCCCTTCGTTACTAGTAACTCTTGAAAATGCGCTACACAAGTGCATGGCATTAGTTAGTATCAAATATAAAATACTAGGCTAGTTCCTTAGCAGCTATTATTACTTCAATCTACACCATTGTGACTTTTCTTTTTTAAAACTCAAAATAAAAAAAAAAAAAAAAAAAAATTGCAAGAAAACATTTGAGATACGTCTCCTTGAATATAAAACTATTTGATATCTTGTTGTCTGAAAATAACGTGACCTACCCGACGACAGTTCACAAGAATAATGAAGAGAAGTATTACAGTTCAAGACATTCCATTTCCTTGACGGATATATTTCTACGCAATCTTCAGTACCATTCCAGTTGTTTGGTTGGTTAGAAGTAAAGTTTAGGTAAACCACTAACGAACCATCAATCCATTGCCACCGTGACTTATTACTTGAGTCACGGTGCAAATAATCCATGTCCTGCTTCCCCAAACAATTTCTCGTTGTTCAGCTGGTGAATCCAACATAGCGAGATTAGATCCAAGTGCTTCACATGCAAATTTTGCGGCGATCCATTCCAGGGTATTAGAGGATAGTTTATAGCAAGAAGATTGGTGTGGAGTCCAATTTTGAGGGCAACCTGTAAAAATAAATATATAAAAAACTGAGGTCAGGAGTGTAATTTCTTCAATCGAGTTTATGACTGCGCTGATTCCTATTATGCTTACAGATTAGGCACTAAATTGAAATTTGAGATACATCTTTGAATTTTAAAATCCCGTCAAGTTCTCTTCACTGCGCATAAAATAAGATTTACACCAAACTTGCTCAGGGCAAACATAACACGAAAAAAGTACAAACTAGGAGAAAGGGGCAAAGATGGTAAATACTGCATTTGCCCTGAATTTGCAACCCTATCATGTAAATTAGGATGCAATTGCGGTGTTTACCATCTTTTCCCCTGATTTCCTGCTAGTTTGCACTTTTCTGCATTATATTTACCCCGAGCAAATATTTGGTGTTAAATCTAGAAAATTTTGGTACAGTGCTGATTGAACATGCTGGTCGGTCATTCGAAATGTTTTAAAATAAGCGAGCCTGTATCTGGCAACGTTACACGTTTTTGATACATTGGCAGCATAAGATTTTTCTTGGTTTCTAATTTACAACTAAGAAATGAAGGACTTGGTTGATTAGTTTTAACTCGGAAATAACCAGTGATAAGGCGGTCCTTGTATTCTTTTTCCTTTGGAGTGCGACTTTTAGGTGATTTTTGCGCTCCTTGAGAAAAAAAAAACGTCAAAGTTACTCGGAATTTTGGCTCTGCATCGCTGTGGGTGGGGGTACTTAGTTTTATCGACGGAGTTCGTAAACTTGATTTCTAACCTTAGTAGTGGAGGAAGGATGTTTTACGCCGATTTTTGTGGATTTAATTAACTTTTTGAGTGGTATAAATGAACGCAGATGACGTCATGCATCTCATTAATATAGGATGATGCCATAGTTTAAATTAATGGCAAAGACGTCATGCATTCCACTAAGATAGGACGATGTCGTACTTTCTTTTTAGCTTGCAAGGAGCAATTGACGTCAGAATACCCTAGGGGTTGACGTCATCAGAAAATGTTGAAATCATAATCTATAAATAGAAAAGTGATTTCTTGATATATTCACCAATTTGCTATAGTCTTCTGATTGGGAAATTTTGAACGTGCTATCTTTGCACATTACACAAACTGAAAAATCTTTAATCATTAAATTATTTTCACTAAAAATCAGTTATAAACAAAACCAAGACACAGAGGTTAACTAGAAAATCTTTACTTCAAAAGAAGGAAAAAAAAGGAGGTTAGGCGAATGCGGAATCGTACTAAGTTTTTTTCGGGCAAATCATGAAAATGAGGTCGAAGCGCAGCTAAGTGAAAAACTGTCTATTAAGCAAAAATGTCAATCTTTGTTTACTTGACTCTGTACAAAAGGAAAAATGAGGTTAGGCGAATGCGAAATCGTACTAATTTTTCGGGCAAATCATGAAAGCGAGGTCGAAGCGCAGCGAAGCGAAAAACTGCCTATCAAGCCAAAATGTAAACCTTTGTTTAGTTGACTCTGTAGAAAGTATTGCACAGGGTATACAAATTCTATAGAAAACAACAGATGGTTCTGAAAAAAACCCTAACTCTTTTGGTTCTTAAATAAAATTCATTCTAGTAACTAATGAGTCACGTCTATCAAAAAAAAAAAATAGGAATCAGAGGTGCGATCGCCTAGCAAGACATGTTTTCTTATTTAGCGCTAAAAATCGGATAGATAAACAAAACACACACACACAAAGTGGAGCTGAAAACTCTCTATTTCAATTTTGACTCACCATTACAAAAGCGTTTTCTCCGTTCTGCCTCGAGGAAACGACTAACTATTGAAGTCTTAGAGCTTCATGAGCTTATGGTCTTGTCAATTCACGCGCCGTTAGTCAATTAATTATGCGGGTTAACAAGCCCACAGTTGCATACAAATTGGCTCCACAGTAAAAACCCCTTGGGAGAAACTTGACTTATTACTATAAAAACACAAACAATTAATAACTTAACAAGGACCAATTAAAACACGAGACAAATAAATTGACAAGAGACGAGATACAGTTTTAAAAACTTTATTGAAAACCAGTGACAAAAAGAGTCAAATATACAGCGATTTGAAAGGGATGGAAATTAGTCCTCCTCCTCCTCCTCGTTCTCCTCTTTAGAAGATGAATAAAAATTGGTTTCCAAAGTCTTGGCGTTTTGGTCTGTAATAGCTCAACAATCGTGACGCCGACGAAAGCCCTCTTTCATGTAATTTATTAATCATCATCTTCGCCCATGGAGTAGTTGTAAGGTCTAACTCGAAATTTCTTATGCCGAGTTCGTTTCTTCTGTTTGCCTTGTGCATTATGATCATCCAAATAATTTAAAAATTGAATCCGACGCCTTTTGCCCTTCGGGCCTTGTGAT